CCTGCGGTGCGTTTCCTCGATGCATTGCAACTATCAACTTGATACTTTTGCGTAGCCTCGACGCCGGTGCCGTCGTGCCATCGGCGACGCTCCTCCACACGTTTCATCGGCACCGCAAGGCGGTGCGAGCCATTCACGTGAGCGGTCCGAGCCCGCTCGGGTACCTCGTCGCTTGTGTGGGCGACGACCATGCGGTAGCCACCGTGCTTGTCCATATATTGGGTCAACTATTTTCTAGGTGAGCGTCTACACGGTGCGTATGGACACGACCGCACTCGACGTGGGTTTTTTCATGGACTGCGTCGGGCAAGGCGGCTGCGTCGTTGACGTTCGTTGGGACTTTCGCACGCAGCACGTGCTTCTCGAGTGCGATGACGCGCTCTTGTACGAATTCGCATCTATCCAAGTATCCTTTTATCTATCCATGTAGGTACATTTGGAGTCTCCGCACGGGGGTCCTCGAGCGCATTGTGCCAGCGGCCATGGTGCCTGCGTCAACGCTCCCAGAGGAGACGCGCGATCCCGTCACGATCGCGTCCCCGCTGTCCGCACCGATGGTCCACGTCATGACGTTTGAGCTACGGACGACGGTCGAGCGACTGCAGCGACTCTGGGCGTCACCATCTGCTTCGGTACACTGCTCTGCACCCGCTTCTTGTGGTATTTTGACACGCACTTAGTCGACGGGGACGGCTCTGGACGCGACATTCTTGTCGTTTGCGCTCTCGTGGGGACTCGACGCCCGCATTGACGCCCTCGTGGAGCGCTGCCTCTGTACGCCTGCTCTTCCGCAGAGAGGCTAAGATGTCATCTGATAGATGTGCATGCACCGTCACTGGCCTACTCGATGGCAATCACAGGCGCGGCGAAAGCGCTGACGGTGCCGCTGCCGAGCTCTTCAGCGCCGCACACGACCAAGTGGCAGCATTCATCTTTTGTCTCGGCCGAGATCGCCCTGGCGTTGGTGCGCATTGCTTCAACGACGACGACAGGACTTATCGTTGGCATCAGGTGACGATGTGTACGAGCTTTATGGACGAGAAGCGAAAAGACGATGAACTGTCGGAGCAGTTGCAAGTGCTCTGGAGCCAGCTCATCACGCAGCACATGGTCGGTGCTTTGACCCCTGGTTTCCTCCGATATTGATGCGATATATTCGGTTAGGTCTGCCTCCCCGAGCAGGTGGATGCGTACGTCGAGCCGTCGCTGGACGTGCTTGCCTCGTACGGCTTTCACGAGTGGGAAGCACTGCAGATGGCGTCGCGGCTTCTTTTGCACGGTAGAAAATCGCTGGTTGATTGGCCATTGGCAACGAAGGACCGGCTGTAGGCGTTATCAAGCGACTGCCACCGACGACGCGCAGTACGACCGCGGCCGAGTACATGACACGGTACCACTGCGAAGTCCAGCAGCTCGAGAAGGACCTTGGGGGTATATTACATAGCGCTCTATTGGCATGACTCGTTCGTTCGATCGTAGGTCTCAAGCAAGTACCAGCACCCCGCATCGTATCGCGACTCGGATCGATGCTCGTGCTGCTCAGCGTCATGGGCACGTGCTTTCCCGGCGAACTCTCGCCCGCGAGCGCGCGCCAAGTGTGCGACGTTCTTGTGTCGCTGCTCCAAGGCCCACCGGCGACCGCCTGCGTCGCGGCCGAGCTCCTCGCCAAGGGCCTCCTCCTCTTCCGCCCACACCTTGTCGACCTCGCCCAGCTCGTGCGTCATGCTCCTCACTTTATACGACACCAAATACACGAGCGTCGATGGAAATAGGTGGTGCAGCTCATTCCGTTGACGCTGGACCCCTCCGACGACGATCGGAAGCGGCTCAAGCAGGCCGCGATGCGTCTCCTCGTCGAGCTCGGGACGTGCGAGGCCGCCTCCGTCTTGGTTGTGCTCCAACAAGAGATGAGCACAAGCGATCGAAGCTATGCGTACCGCGAAGGCGTCCTCGTCTACCTTATGACGTGGGTGAATCTCCAGTACCTCCTCATGGCGCGCCACCTCCCCGCGGTCATCGAGACCATCTTGTGCTGCCTTGACCCGACAAAACCCGACCGCCGAAAGAAGTGTCTGGCCATGGTACGCCACCCACAAAGGACATCTTGTCCATACGTAGAGGGTCTGTTCGTAGAGCACCAAGTGTCTCCACGACCTCGTCAAGCGATTTCCAATGGTCGACTTTCACAAGACAACGCAGCGACTCGCCATCGGCACCATGGAAGGCGTCGTGTTGCTCTACGATCTCCGCACGGTGCGCGTTCTGAGTCGACGGGGCACCTCCTCATATTGTAAATAGGCGACCAAGTGGCGTGTGCTAGACGGCCACACGACCGCGCTCTCGGCGGTGCTCTTCCGCAAGGACGGCGCCATGCTGGGTATCTATCAATCTATCAAGTGACGGTCTTGATAGAATACCGAATAGTGTCGTATGCGGCGAGGGAGGCGAGTGTGCGCTGGTGGAACGTGACGGCCGGCGGGCTTCTCTCGCTCCTCAAAGTGCAGCAGTCGTGCGTTCGCCAACTGCAGCTGGCGCCGCTCACGCAGCACCTCCAGCGACCCGCCGAATTGCACAAGGTGATTCAGAGCTGCCGCTTCCGCTTGGCGCCCGACGACATCAACGTCTGGCTCACGCGCGAAGACGAGTCGCTCCTGCCACTCAATTTCCACATTTAATACGACTCGGTGGTGCGACGAATAAGACCCTGCGCTCGCCCAGGGCGTGAGGCGAGCTGGTCCCTTGTGGAGTGACCAGCTACGACACAAGAGCCTCGAAGGAGTCGTGTATCTTGAATCTCAATGCTCGAAGCCCGTGCAACCTGAATCTCAGTTCTCAAAACACGTTTGGCGTCTCATTTTCGCACGCCTGTGATTGAACGAAGCACGACAGGGACATGGACTCGGCAACCTCGCTCGGAGCAGGGATGCGTTCTAGGTAGCAATAATGTGCCCCTGGCTCGGAGGTGGCAGTTGCACTGTGCCAACCTCGAAGCGAGCCGACTCTCAACATGGCGGTCTCGCCAAGGTATGTGCCTCCATCGATGGCAAGAAGGACGCAGCGACGGAGGAGGATGCAACGACTCGTCTATCTGGAGCAATATGCATTCATTCAAAGTACATTCCAAAGAGAACGTGGTGCGACGACGTATATCCTTACGTGGTCGTCTTGCTCATTTGGCGAGCGACGAGGTTTTGGTACAAGCCGTCGGGAATGTTCATGAGCTGGTCGTGCGTCCCGAGCTCGGCGACGCGACCGTCGTGGACGACGGCAATGACATCGGCGTTGCGGATCGTCGACAAGCGGTGGGCGACAATAATGGTCGTCCGCTTCTTGAGCGTGAGGAGCTTGTCGAGCGACGCTTGGACGATGGCCTCGCTCTCCGTGTCGAGCGCACTCGTGGCTTCGTCGAGCAGCAGAATCGCGGGGTCGCGAATGATGGCACGCGCGATCGCAACGCGCTGCTTTTGGCCGCCCGAGATTTGCACGCCACGGTCGCCCACCGACGTGTCGTACCCGTCTGGAAACCGCACGATGAAGTCGTGGGCGTTGGCCTTTCTCGCCGCTTCTTCGATTTCTTCGCGGCTCGCATTCGGCTTGCCCATCGCGATGTTCTCGGCGATCGTTCCCGCAAACAGCACGGGCTCTTGCGACACGATCGCAATGTGGCTGCGCAGCGACGCGACGTTGAGGCACGCAACGTCGACGCCGTCGATGGTCACGGCGCCGGCGCTCGGGTCGTAAAACCGCTGCAAGAGCGCAATTGCGGTGCTTTTCCCGCTGCCGCTGCCGCCGACGAGCGCCAGCGTCTGGCCGCTCGCAATCGAGAGGTTGTAGTTGCGGTAGATCTTGGCGTCCGGCCGGCTCGGGTACGCAAATGCAATGTGGGAAAAGTGCACGTCGCCGTGCACGTGCGCCAGGGTCGCGCCCGACGCGGCCATCGCATCGATGCTCGGGACGTGGTCGATGATTGCAAAGATGCTCTGGACCGCCTTCTTGGCCTTGCCGACGTCGCCGAGCCCTTGGACGGCAATGCCGACGCCAAACGAGCAAAAGAGGATCGCGTTGAGAACCGTCATCATGGCTTCGAACGTCACGTCGCCGCGGAGGAGGAGCCAGCCGCCAAAGTAGAAGGTGGTGGCGATCGCCAGCACCATGGTGGACTGACTGAGGCCGTACGCGGACGCGCTCTTTAAACCGACTTTGACGTCGGTCGACGCCGACTGCTGGAGATAGGTCAGGTACGCTGCGTTGGTGGCTTTCTCGAGGCCAAACGAGGCCACGGTGCGGATCGCATTGATGGCTTCCGAGAGAAGCGCGCCGGCGTGGAGGTCGCCGTCGTTGAGGTCCTTGTCGCCGCCGCCGAGCGTCTGCATCTCCATGACGCTGGCAAACCCAAGAATCGGAAAGATGGCGGCGAGCACCAACGTCATCTTCCACGAGTAGTAGAACGCGACGCCAAAGCCGACACCGAGCGACGAGGCGTTGACGAGAACGGCGTTGAGCGACTCGGATGTCATGGACCGAATGGCCGCCGAGTCGGTCGCCAGGCGGATCGTGAGCGCGCCTGGCGTGTGCCGCGGGTCGTCAAACCACGCCATGTCCTGGCGCAGCATCGCCTGGAAGCTCATGTAGCGGATGCGACCCGTGAGCCGCTCGGACGCGGTGGCAAACTGGTGGTACTGTGCAATGATGGCAAGCACGTACATAAGGCCCATAAAGACAAAGCTGAGGCCCCACCACATGGCTTGATGGCGCATCTCGGACGACGAGAGGTCTTGGCGGTAGAAGAGCACGACGCATTTCGTCAGCAGCACGCCCCAGACAGGGTACACGGCGCCGTGGATGAGCGCGCCGAGACTGCCGACGACCAACTGCCGCACGTTCGGGGCGGCTCAGACGCCACACGCGCGAGATCGGTACCAATGGCCGCTTCAGCCCGGCACTGTCGACCGACGTCGCGTCGTCATCGCCAGTCGACGAGGCGGCGTCACCAACCTCTTTGTGGCGCTCGGTGGCCTGGGTCACGACCGCCGCGGACGGCGCGTCGTCTACTGCATTGTCGTCGTCGTCGTCGCTGGCGTGTCGCATCTGCGCCGTGACGAGGCCCTTGTAGTGACCGTGGGGGATCGAGAGGAGCTCGTCGTGGGTGCCGTCCTCGACGACGACGCCGTCGCTCAGCACGACGATGCGGTCGGCGCCTCGGATCGTCGAGAGGCGGTGCGCAATGATGATGGTGGTGCGCTGGCGGGCGGCGACGAGCGCGTCCAGCGACGCCTGCACGACATGCTCGCTCTCCGTGTCGAGCGCACTCGTGGCTTCGTCCAGCAAGAGCACACTCGGGTTCTTGATGATCGCGCGGGCGATCGCAATGCGTTGTTTCTACACATCCATGGGATTCCGTGTCAATAATGTATCAAGTGAACACAAACGATACCTGGCCACCCGAGAGCTGCGCACCACGGTCGCCGACGTCCGTGTCAAAAGCCCGCGGGGAACCCCATGATAAAGTCAAAGGCATTGGCTTGCTTGGCGGCGGCCATGACCTCTTCGAGCGTCGCGTCCGGTTTGCCGCGGC